GTCCAGCCCCCTGCTCAAGCAGGAGAACTTATACCATCTCAGGCAGGTGATTGTCTAGTCTCTTCTTGAAAATCTCCAGTGATGGAGCGCCCACAATTTCTGGGGGTAAGCTGTTCCACTGGTTGATTGTCCTCACTGTCAGGAAGTTTCTCCTTAATTCCAGGTTGCTTCTCTCCTTGATCTGTTTCCAACCACTGTTTCTCATCCTTCCCTCTGGTGCGCCTTTTAGTGTTTGGAGATTTGTCATTCCATAGTTAGAACACATTTTTTCTCACTGCCTGTCAGTGAGATGAGCAGCATATACATTTAATAAATAAGTACATAAATAAAACTAAATCCAATGAGTAGAAATTTCAGGAATATAAATTTTGGAAAAGAAACACTCAGCAAATCTTTCTTTTAAAAAATGAGGTTATTCATTGGTGATATAGTGTCAAGAAATGTTGAGCTGTCTTTTGGAAATATTTAACCGGAGGTTAGATGGCCATCTCTGTAATTGGTACCATACATTACATCTTCTCTATTGCACATCAGGTTAAACTAGAAGACTACAGAGATCCCTTCTACCTACTCTTTCTGTTACTTGCCGGTCATTTGATTTAATATTTTCTATGTGTGTGTGTTTTTTTTTTTTACATTCTAAATGGCAAGGTTATTGTAAAGGAAAATCAATTTCTCACTAAGCCCCCTCCTGATCTGTGCCTCTTTAAATGGATCATGAAGCCAAATCAAAACATCTGAACTTTGTTCATTTTCAGGTACTGAATATAATTGCAGGTATTTGGTAATATCTTGTATGATATCAGTGCAAAGAGACAGAGATTGATTGCTGTATAAATAATTTGAAGTATCTGAAGTACACTTTTGTTGGAAGTTATGAAAAACTTCTTAATCTTAGTGACATATCTGAGAGTTACTGATAGTATAATATATTGCTAATTTAATAGGCAGTTTGTTCAGCTGAATGCTACTTCAGAAAGTTGTCTTGAGCTAAGCTGCAACTAAACGGCAACTAAAGCCATATATTGCACATCATTCATAGGACTCTAACAGGTACTAGCTGAAGCTGATGGGTATACTGAGTCTCTTAAAAAAGATGAAATTCAGCTAGTTTGGAACATATTTATCAGGCAGTAAAGTATTTCGAATGCGAAGGGATTTACTAGGATTGTGTCTTATCATTTTGCTGCCTGGAGTGAGACATAAGGTGTTCCTTATTACTAGTGTATATTAGTATCTGATTTTAAAGCTGCAGTCCTAAGCATATTTTCTTCCCAAGGATCAACTAAATTATGGGATGTAGGGGAATTATTGCATACTCAGTGAGCTTGCATTGCTGAATTCCAGTAAAATTCATCAGTAAACAAGGAAATATATAGAACAGGCAAATCAAATACAAAAATAATCTACCTGTAACATGAGAACTGGCTGTGATACTCTTCAATTTTGTATCATTCCCACTCTCAAATAGTAAACAGGTTGTTATAAAATCTGATCCCACATCAGCAATATGTCATGCCCCTGCGGGTTCAACATAAACGGGCAGGGGGAGGGGGCTGGGACCCTGAGATCCGGTAACTGAGATAGTCCAACCGGGTTTGGTGGAACTCACACTTGGACAACTTCACGTACAGGTGCGCCCATAGCAAATTTAATATCTTATTTTAATGCAACTAAATCCTTTGGGCATTATGCATGCCTGGGTTTTGTCTTGGTTTCATTGTGTGCAACTTCTTCAAAGACTTGTAAGCTTCATATTTACATCCCTGAGTTTAATCTAAGTTATATATCAGTCTTTCTAGCCCAGGGATCTTCAGACTTGGCCCTTTTATGACTTGTGGACTTCAACTCCCAGAATTCCTCAGTCAGGCATCCTGGCAGAGGAATTCTGGGAGTTGAAGTCCACAAATCATAAAAGGGCCAAGTTTGAAGATCCCTGTTCTAGCCAATATGCTTACAGTTACTGTCCTAGCACCTGAACCATTACAAACCAAAATACACTTGGTTTTACTTTACTGTATTTGCTTTTTCACTAGGAATATAATCATTTTATGCCCTGCCAGAACATAGTTTATGGAGCTCAGCAATGCCAATGCAGTCTGCATTGACTTGGCAACAGCATTGCAGGTTCCTATACATGATTCTCCTACTAGGAAATACCAGAATCTGAGTATTGAATGCGAGACATTTTGCCAGCAAAGTATGTACTTTTCTAGTTGCTTGCATCGGTACTCAAGATACAGTGGCTGTTCCTGCAAGGTGTTACATCTGTTTTATACAAGCAAGAGGTTCCAAACAGGTTTGTTTTTCTGCATAGCTTGAACACTTTTGTTTGTTTCTATAGCATATGTAATTCTGATAAAAGAGAATATTTGTAGCCCGAAATGAGGGGTTCTTGGTGTTCTCTGAGCTTGGTTGTAACATGTAATTCTTTAATATATAATGTTTTTTTTTTCTTTTTAAAAAAAGATTTTGATCCCAATTTTGTTTCAAATGCAACTAAAGGTGGTGAACATTTTATTTATTTATTTATTTTTTTAAAAAATATGCCATACCGATGGTATGAACATACTCTTTCCACCACCTATTTTCCCCAGAACAACAACAGTGTAAAGAGAATTGGGCTGAGAGAGAGTGATTGGCCCAAAGTCACCCGGCAGGCTTTCGTGCCTAAGTGAGACTAAACATCTCCTGGTTTCTAGGTCAGCACTTTAATCACTATACCCAAGTGGCTTTTCATTTCTTTTTTTTTCCCTTTGGTAATTCATAATATACGCCATGTTTATGGCACTCAGGAATTCATGCAGTTCAACAAGTTTGCCCATTGTGTCCCTTCTCTCTCTCTCATCTTCAGCCTTACTGTGTCACCAGTTTTTTACAGGCCTACAGTGAGACAATATTACAAAATATTATGTATGTATATATATCAGCAAAAACAAAGTTTGTAGCTTCACTTTATTTCTATTGCTGTAGGATAATTGTATGTTACTTGCCATAGGAAGGTTGGGGAAAATTTGTACATGTTTTTAGGCAGTAGCATATTTTCTTGTACATGTAAGCTTGCTTCATGTGTGTGGGTGTGCGCACACACCCCTCTATGTCTTGCTGTCTCCATAGTACATAAGTGCTTCCATTTGTACATGCAATGAGTCTGTTCTATTAACCCATCCATTCTATGGAAGTAGGGTTACCACATGAAACTGACAGCATTTCATTCCTATATATGTTACTGAAAAATAATATTTTGCACTGCTGTGAATTGTTGGAGCTTTACATATGCAGGCACATTAGTCTCGTAAAGGAATATTGGATCTAACTGGAGCTACTGGCAAAAAATGAAGAAAGGCCTATTGAACCAACAAGACTCTTGTGATGTTAACACTCTCACTGTGTGCTAACAATTGTGGACTTCATTTACAGTCTGAGATTTTTAACAAGAAATGTCAGGGATTAATGCAGCAGTGTGTGTCTTGTGGCTTTTAGAGTCAAATGCCATGATAAGTAAGTATGTCGCACATATCTACCATTTCTTTTTTTAAGCAGGGGTTTAGTTCACAAGTAGTTTGACTGGCTGGCATTACTGAAGGTTTTTGTTTTTTAAAAGATCAACAATTCCTTACTACAGAGTGTATATCAATTTATCAAAATAAATGGTTTAGAGAGGAGGTCTTAAACTGCCCACCCTTCCTATGATGTTCCCATTCTGGTATTGAACCACAACAGTTTTCCTCTGATGACCTAGCATGGGATTATTTGTCACTACCGTCTTTTAGCTAGAGAGATGAATGTAGTAAAGGTGTTGTCGGAGCAAGCATAAAGCAAACATTGGTTCTGCAAGCCTGGAACAGACCATTTAGATCAGGAGTGTCAAACTGCCAGCCCATGGGCCAGATGCATCATGGTGAAACCGTGCCCACCCGATTGCCAGCAATGGAAAAAAAGTCACGTGACGTTGCAAATTTGACACCCCTGATTTAGATGATAGGTCTGACAAAAAAGCTGGAGTAGTATTGCAATCAGATATTATCAACTGGAACTTCATTTCCTTTTCTTTCTAGCTAATTTTTCTATTACTATGTAGTAGCTTTGTATGTAGGTTTTGACTCCATTTTGTACCAGGTTGCGTTTGTTCTCTGTTTTTAATTCTCTCAAATGCTCACGGGAGCTAGGCAATTTTCTCTTTCCTTCATTCAAAGAACTCCCAAGACTGCAATATAATTTTTGCTAGTATTTTGCTGTATAATAATCCAGTTTCTGTCTTCCTGCAAAATGCATTAAGAACAGGTCTTCAAGTAAGGAAGCCATAATTGCCAAGAGGATAAAATTTGATTGAGTTGAAACCTATATCATTCTCTTTTTGAAATTGATCCTTTTTTCTGGCAAGATAGATATTCTGTAAACGTCTTTTAGGCCAGTTGAAAAAAAAAATCTTCAGCCCATAATGCTGGTTCACAAAATGCAAATGTGCTTGATGTGTTTTGATTTATCCATGTGGCCTAAATCCTCAAATATATTCTCATGTGCGTTATTTAAATTTGTACTGAAATTAAAGAATAAAAGCAAATATTTTTATACAGTTTTATAATTTTGCCCAGAATAATTGCTAAATTATTCCATTCGTTCCATGCAATAGATGGAATCTAGAATTCTCTTTCTGTGAATTGGACTTTATTAATTGACCAAGGGAATTAGATCAGATTGGTTGATTGATTGGTTGATTGATTGATTATCTCCATCAAGTCAGAGTTGACTCTCAGGAACCACATACATACATTTTCTCCATAATTTCTTTTCTTAATTTGGTCCTTCATGTCTTTGATTTGGGGTTCAGTGTATTGCAAATCCCTTAATGTTCGTAAGATTTGGGAATACTTACCAAGCACATTCCTTTGAATATTAAAACAAGGAACTAGTGAAATTTGTAGGGTCATTTAATTTGTAAAGGCTATTCTATATATCCAGAGTTATTGTGTGAAAATCCAGTAATTAAAAACTCTTGGTAGAGATAAAGTGAAGAAATAACAAAGCAGGTGAGATCATGACAAGTCCTACTTAAAGATGCAGGAAATCTATATAATCATATCAATTGGCCTATAAAGATAAATTCAGGAGCCAGAATAGGTTGTTAATAAAGGTTAATGTCTTTATTGTAGCTTTTGTGTTTAAGGATTCATTAAATACTGATTTCATACGCATTAACTGCATAATAGATTTGTTATAAAGAGATAGGTAACCCATAGACATTGCTGCCAAGTCCCTGTTTTTCACTCCTTAGAGCCATCTGATACTCTATTGCTGAAATAATTGTAACATTATTTTTGTGTATGTTTTTCTATGTACATTATTTTGCAAAATAAACCCAAGAAATATGTTAAATCTCTGAAACGTTTAATGCATCTATTTTATTTTAAGGGCACCTGTGCTCCAGTTTTTATGTTTCTCATAAAAACATTGATGAAATGTTTTCCTCATCTTTGAGTGCATAATTAATGCACTACTAATATTATTTTTCACACTTTTGTAACTAATCTAAGTACAAAATAATAAAATACCCCAAGAAATTAATACAATAACAGACTACAAGTCAACTTAAGTTTAGAATTATAATATCAAGGCCTGGTAACCTGAATGGCCTTCAAATCATTTAAAATTATCATTAGAACCTATGTCTAAACAACAATAGAAATAGTAATATTTTATTGATTACATATTATATACATATCAGAGTAGAAAATATAAAACACAGAACAGTAATAATGCTATGTATTTAAAAAAATGGAATAAAATAAGTAAATAAAATAAAATGCAGATCATATTTGTGTGTCACTCCTATAGTTTACCCCAATCAAATCCATATATGCAGTTCTCAGGTGTAGAGTTTTATTCAAAGAAAGAGCTGCATTATATGTAATTTTTGAATTCTAACCACACATGGAATCTGTTGCTTTAATATAGGGATCCCAGTAGGCTTTTTGTCTAAAGTATGGTCCAAGATACTGATCTCTCTCTTTCTTATACAATTGACATTCAGATAATATATTCATTATGTCTTCTATCTCTAGGGGTCCACAAATAAGTAAGTTCATGTAAGGGCCTCAGTTAAATCTTCCATATTTAATCATTTAATCATGCTCGAGTAAAGACCCACCTAAAGTATTTGGACATTTCTGTGTTTACATAGTTGGCAATTTGGAAGATACATTTATAGTGGTTCATCCATGTCAATGTGCCAGCCAGGTTGTATCTCTCTCTGAGCTTCAATATCCCAAATTCAGCAAAGTTTTTAACTTGTTTTCCAAGGATAATTGGACAATAAACTAGGCAATCACAGCTCCTAATATCATTTGTGAGTGGTACGATGCAAGAGGTGTGCAATTGAGATTTTGTCTGTTCTGACACACTTTTGTGAGTCTGTCATTTTCTGCAGCATTGATTTTGCACCAATAATTGTATGATCTGATTTTAGACAAAGAACAGGTTGTATAAATTCCCAGTGCAGGTCTGACTGCAGCAGGTGAGATCCTTTTATATGCATCCTAAAATATTTCTCAGATACTGTGATTGTGTTTGTTGTAATATTAGTATATGTTGTAAGCCCTAATCTTCAGCCCCATATAAGAGCTTAGAGGTAACCTTTAATAATTGGGGCTAAGGAACCCAGATAACTCTGATTTATTAATGTGAGCAGTAAATTTCCCTTGCTCTGAGTGAACTCCTTTGATGATGAGGGAGCCAAGATCCAATCTCAGAGAAGATTATCCCTAGATAATTTGCTCTACTGGCTCACCATCTAATAGCTATCTATGGCTGTGATGTCATTTTCCAAAAGCCATGATTTTTTACTTTATTAATAATCAGAAAATTATTGTGATAGTTGGGCCAAGTCTTCTTAACAACCTATACAACCCAACTTGTGAAAAATCATATTGTCAGTGGATAAGAATTTGAGTCCCTTAGGCATATATACTTCTGGATCCTTCATCAGTCTTGGTAAGTCATTAATGTACAGAGTGAATATCAGTGGTGCAAGTATCCATTCTTGTCTTACTTCTTGGTGAGTATCTATTCTATTGTCATGCTCCATGAACCCCAAACTGCACTTTCAAGTGTGTGTTTGTATGAAAGGCTTTGATCAGTGCCAGCAGTCTAGGTTCCATATTGAGGACAGTTAGATTTCTCCATAATATTTCTCCGTTTACTATGTCAAATGCTGTACTAAATTCTGTAAAGGCAGCAAATGATTGTTTCTCCTTACTGACATATTTTAATTAGATGGTTCAAAACAAAGCGATTGTTGATAGGGATTGACTGTGTCTAAACCCAGCTTGTTCTTTTGCGAGAATGCATTTTTCATCTACTCAGCTCTCAATTCTATTTAAAAGGAACCTGGCATATATTTTAGCCACAATGTCTATTAGAATAATAGATCTGTAATTGCTAGGATCCTTTCTGTTTCCTTTTTTGGTACAGTATGTAGGAACTGTTATTGTCTTCTTCTATCCAACTGGCTTATGGCAGATATTATTTATATGTGTGAATAAACCTGCCAAAAGAGGAGCCCAGCAGAGTATTTCTGGAATAGCTCAGCGAGTAGAAGTCCTCACCAAAGGATTCATTGGTCTTCCAGCCTTTTATGATTGATTTGATCTCATCTAAACAACAGTAAATTTCTGCATTAAAAAAAATAATATTAAAACCAGCTACACAAAGTTAATCATTTTAGTGCCTTTTTATATTTGGATACATTAGGCTCCAGGTATGATTCTGATGAAAGCTGGTTCTAGAGCAGGGGTCCCCAATCTTGGCAACTTTAAGATGGCTGGGAAATTCTGGGAATTGAAGCCCACAGATCTTAAAGTTGCCAAGGTTGGGGACCCCTGTTCTAGAGGACTAGTATTGAACTGGAAAATGTTCTAAATTTTGATATGGATTTTTTAGTACAAGAAGGTCCCAGTCAGCCTTGGCTGATTATAGGATTAAATGCACTTGCATATAGAGATCATCCTCAACTTAGCAATCGTTCAAAAGTTACAACTGACTTACCACAACCTAGATTTAAGTTCTGATAGTTCCCCCTCAGGCCCTTGACCAGTGGTTCTCAACCTGTGGGTCGGGACCCCATTTGGGGTCAAATGACCATTTCACGGGGGTCGCCAAACAACGCAGTCTGCCATTTTTTCCCCTTTTCCTTAGCTGTGCTACTCCCTTTTATTCTATTGGCTTTTGAAAGCCAATAGAATAGACTCTCTTGAATAGAGTCTAATTCTATTGGCTTTCAAAAGCCAATAGGAATTGTCCAGGCTGTCTCTGCCCTGCTGAGCCCGCCAAAAGTCCCATTCTGCAAACGGTGCTGCAAGTTGTCGGCAGTGAAGGCGAGCTGTCTGGAAGTTTCCACGCCTCCCTTCTGAGCAACTACTAAAAATGTAAGTAAAAGAGGGCCAGGGGTGGGAGGTGGGAGGCCGGCAGGCGCAGGGAGGGTTGCTGGTGCGTGTGGGGCCCAGCGGGTGCCTTACCTCCCTTGGGCTGGGCCAGCTGGTGGCCCAGCCAGTGGTCGGCCTGCGCCGTCTCTGCCACTTGCCAGCTACGCCTCAGCCGGCGCAGGGGGCAGCACCACACATGCGCAGCGCTCCCGGGCAGGGAAAGTCCTCAACTTACGACCGGTTGGGGAGTCCTTGACTTATGACCGGTTGGGTAGTCCTTGACTTACGACCGGTTGGGGGTCGCGGCATTAAGGTTGAGAACCACTGCCCTTGACAATGTGGCCGCATTTAGTGCTGATTGCCGCATCCCGCAGTCACACAACCACATAGGACAGTGAGTTTGCTAAAAACCAGCACTTCTGGTTTTCAACAAAACTGGCCATTGGTTCATTTAATGACTGTTGTATTTACTTAACCACAGCATCTGCTTTACAACCATCATGACTTAAAACCATAATGGATAGGATCCATTACGGTCGTAAATCGAGGTTAACCTTTACTGTATGCACTCTTAAAATAGAAAATAATTATTTATTTACTAAAAAGGATGCCAAATTTCTCAGGACTGAAATATAAATCTCTTCTAAGGATTTTTGCAACGTAATCAATAGATCACCTAATATTTGTGTCCTTAGTCAGCATCGGCTATTTGTAATATGGAAGAATTACCCATTCCAATAATAATTAAACATCTATATGCTAAATTGAAATCACCAAAAGATAATAAAATATCATTGGGCCTGGAAATTGCATATTCTTTAGGCTCTTCTATGACTGACTTTACCTCTATAATGTGCTAATATGGAAAGCATATTCAAGATGGACAATATTTAATATTTATTTGCTACGTATATGTAGGGATGTGGGTCTATACATATGTTGTTCATAGTATGTTTAGGTGTGTGTCATGTATGTGTTTCACTTTGAGAGCGGGCAACTAAATTTCATTTTTGATGTGTGTCATTGCGCCCACAGTATAAAAATGACAATAAAGCTTATTTTATCTTATCTTAAAATAAATTTAGCCATCCTGATTATGTCAGCAAGACTGAGGATCATTTTATATTAACTTCCTAATCTAAAGAACTCCCTGCAAAAGTTTATGCTGAATTTACATTCAAATTCTCGGTTTCATACCACTGATCAGCACCCAAAGAATCATTTCATAAGTAACTCTTCTGACATGGAACGTAGCAGTAGTGAACTAAGTGAACTAGAAGTAACTGGGGAAAAAAACCTAAAATAGTGCAAATTGCCAAAATTAAGTGGATGTCAAGAGGAAATAGCAAATTTGAAAATGTGTTGTGGTCATTTACCCCCACATTTGTAAAATCAGTTGCTTGAGTGTTTTTCCTGATCATCAAAATAAATGTGAAATACATTTGAAAATAAGAATTACTGACCCTCTTACCTTATTTTCAGCGGCCAGGAGGGCCCACAGGACTGATAAATGAATAACCTTCATGCAGGAATGTCATCCAGATCATCATTATCTCAAAGCTGCTTTTTCAAAAGGCAACTTATTTGAGGAAGACCACCATCCTGCTAGAACTGATGAAGCTCCTTGGATGAGAAGGGAAACGTCTTCCTCAAAGAAAAAAAACAGTCCAGTTACCTTTGATAAAGCACCTTTGACACTTCGTGCAGGAAAAATAATTTAGTACAAAACTAGCAACATTTGATATATATCAACATAGATTTTACAATATAGCCTGCTTCCATTACCATGATAATGGAAAGGGATCCTTCTTTCTAACATTCCCTAACCATGAATCCTCTGACACAGATTTCCTCCTACGGGTCCTGTGTATGCATTCTTTTAATAATTATGTATGCCTTCATAACCCTGAGGATTAATTATTGTAAATTAGTTATTCATTCTTAACAGGAGCCAGCAATATGGTACCAGTGTGCCACCAAATTTCACAGTATCTCATACAAAATTAGCCAAAGACTGATAGCATTTTTTTAATTTGCTTTGAACATGGGCATCAAGGCTTTTCTATACGTGACAAATTTACTCCTGTGGCTTCTTTTAGAGATGTGTAGATTGAAACTGATCAGTATTATAATATTTTAGGAAATGAGGGGTCCTTGTTGCTCTCTGAGCTTGATTGCTTTCTTGCAGATATTTCATTACCCAAGGACCCCTCATTTCAACCCTGAGCTACAAATATTCTCCTTTATTGATATTAGGCAATATTTTCATCTGCCAGCCCTTATATGACTTGAGTCCAACAACTGCACCTAATTTCTTCGTTACAAAGTTTTTAGCCTAGAATTTTGTACAGTCTTACTTGGGAGTGTATTTATTGAGCTAAACTGAGATAACTTCTGAGAAGACGTGCATATGATTGCATTGCTGGCTGATTAATTTCTCTAAATCTTAAAAGACATGACAGCCCATAAGAATTAGCAAGTAAAATCAAAAGACTTCTTCAGCTTTTCAGCTTTTTCAATTTATCAAAAATCAAATCCATAATTTCAGTATAAATCAAGAAGTCATGCTGATGGTCTTAATTTATATTCATGATGTGAAAAGTACTATATCATTTTTATCTGTTTATCCATACTTTTAATGCAAATAATTAAACAATGATATTAATATTTGAGAATGATGTGATACCAAAATTAATGCATGATAGGAGTGGAGATTTGAGGATTATACTAATTTGCCCAAGGTCATAAATGCACACAGGTTACAGCAATCATTTGTTAAATCCAGATCCTAAATGTATTAATGAGAACGTATTGGCTATAACCACTCTGATTTAATTAACATTTGGGAAAGTAATGCATAAATATGCATAAACATAACCCAATTTTTCTGACAGTGATGTTGATACTTTTTCCTTTCATCAGTGTACAGTCATTCCATCCACTTCCAATATAAGGCAGAATATGAGATCAATCACTGTCTAAAAACTTGTTTCATGCTGTTTAACATTTCCCACCATCAAGAAAAGGAAACTTTAAATATCCTGGTCTCTATGTAGCATTCATATGGAATACTCAAACAAGACCTTCTTCTACCTTGAAATAATCTGTATTTATGGAACAGTAACAAATTTGTGTCAAATAATATTGAAGATTGTTGTTGTTAGTTGCGAAGTTGTGTCCGATCCATCGTGACCCCATGGACAACGTTCCTCCAGGCCTTCCTGTCCTCTATCATCTTCTGGAGTCCATTTAAGTTCATGCCTACTGTTTCAGTGACTCCATCCAGCCACCTCATTCTCTGTCGTCCCCTTCTTTTATTGCCCTCAATCTTTCTCAGCATTAGGCTCTTCTCCAGTAAGTCCTTCCTTCTTATTAGGTGGCCAGAGTACTTGAGTTTCAACTTCAGGATCTGGCCTTCTAAAGAGCAGTCACAGCTGATCTCCTCTAGGACTGACCAGGTTGATCCCCTTGCAGTCCAGGGGACTCGCAGGAGTCTTCTCCAGTACCATAGTTCAAAGGCCTCAATTCTTTTGCCCTCATCCTTTCTTATGGTCCAACTTTCACAGCCATACATTGCAACTGGGAAAACCATGGCCTTGACTATACGTACTTTTGTTGGCAGGGTGATGTCTCTGCTTTTTAGTATGCTGTCTAGATTTGTCATAGCTTTCCTCCCCAGGAGCAAGCCTCTTTTAATTTCTTGGCTTCAGTCCCCATCTGTGGTGATCTTGGAGCCCAGGAAGATAAAATCTGTCACTACTTCCATTTCTTCCCCATCTATTTACCAGGAATTGAGAAGGCCAGATGCCATGATCTTGGTTGAAGATTATGGCTCTTAGATAATTGGTAGATCATCCTTGATTCAATTGCTTATGAAATGTTTCAACTTCAATTTAAGTCTAAGAATGTCAGTATTCATACTTTAATTCCACATTATAATTATTCATAAATCATAATCCCAACAATCTACTGTAAAAATAAGACTTGTGTTCAATTCCCTAATGAAATGAACCCGTTTGCGAATCATGTTCTAGATCCTGTAACAGTTTCCTACTGTTCAAATCAAAAGCAAGGAAAGTATTTTGAAATTGATATGGGACCCTCAGCTCCTTACTGAAAGGGCTGTGTGTTTTCCAAGGTTCGTACTGTACCTGTGTGAATTCAGGAAAATATGTATATTCAGTAAAGAAGTAAGAAACCCTTTGGGACACCCTTGATACTGCCCACATTCATTCATCACCGCCCAATCCATGCCCAGCAATTTGCCATATAAATCCAGGAGAAAGTATGGTTCTGTTAAGGAAAAGTTAACAAATATAAGAAGGAAGTCCTTGGTAGAATCAAAAAATCGTTGCCCACTTAGACCTTAATCTTACATACTTTTAGATCATTCACTAGTCTGTGTTACAATAGAAAAATGTACCAATTTATTTTAATGCTAAAAAGTAGAAATGATCTCATATAAAACTCAATATTCTGTTTTTAAAACACTTTCAATGTAGCCTCATACTTTGGCTTGGATTCTTCTGTATATCTGTTTACCATCCAGTCTCTTCCATACCTAATGTGAGACAAAAAAATAAATATTGCAAATTTTGTCCAAAAAGTCAATAATTCCTTAATGCATATATATGTATGCAATATAAGTAAATGATTTGATAAATGTGCATTGATACCCAGAATTTTCATATTCTCTTTAATTAACGAGAGTCAGTTTGGGGTAGAGGTTAAGGCACCAAGCTAGAAACCAGGAGACTATGTATTCTAGTATTGCCTTAGGTACAGAGACAGCTGGCCAATCATTCCCTTTTAGCTGTGAGGGAAAGGTCTTAGCAAATCACTTGCTAAAATGCTGCCAGGCAAACTGCAGGGACTTGTCAGGTCAGTTGCCAGGAGTCAAAACTAACTCAAAGATACAAAGGCACACAAAATGTTATTTAATACAGAATGTTGCTTTAGCTGTAGTGATATTCCTGATGTAAGATCATTAAATAATAATGATGATGATGATGATGATGATGATGTTGGAAGGGATCTTGGAGGTCATCTTGTCCAACCCCCTGCTCAGGCAGGAAGCCCTATACCATTTCAGACAAATGACTCTAGTTTCTTCTTAAAAACTTCCAGTGTTAACGCATTCACAGCTTCTGGAAGCAGGTTGTTCCACTGATTAATTGTTCTAACTGTCAGAAAAAGTTTCCTTAGTTCTAGGTTGCTTCTCTCTTTGGTTAGTTTCCATCCATTGCTTCTTGTCCTGCCTTCAGATGCTTTGGAGAATAGCTTGACTCCCTCTTCTTTGTGGCAACCCCTAAGATATTGGAACACTGCTATCATGTCACCCCTCGTCTTTCTCTTCATTAAATAGACATTACCAATTCCAGCAACTGTTCCTTACATGTTTTAGCCTCCAGTCCCCTGATACTTTTGTTGCTCTTCTCTGTACTCTTTCTAGAGTCTCATCTTTTTTACATCATGGTCACCAAAACTGGATGCAAATTTGTAAATAACAAGGTGTTTCTAAATTCTACCATTCTTTCAGATATGTTTGGTATGTTCTACTATACTAAGATAGTAGTGTATGTGAATTGCCAAGAGTCATTTATTTTGTTGTATTTTATGCCCATTTATTATTCCTATCTTTAATTCTCAATATATGTCCCAAAGGTGCTTTTTCAAAAAGCAACTGGAGTTTCTTTGTTTTTCCTTGAAGATGTTTCACTTCTCCTCCAAGAGAGAGCACTCCTCTTAAGTACTAACAGTTAGAACTGAAGAAGCTTCTTGAATGAGAAGTGAAATGTCCTAAAGGAAAAACAAAGAAAGTCTAGTTGTCTTTTGAAAAAGCACCTTTGGGACAACCATGACATGGATGACTGAGTATCTCCATAGACAATTAGCTCTCAGTATATGTGTTTCTATGTACTGTTTTCTGGCTCAGGGCCACAGTAAAGGATTATTGTTGACGATGATTGCCGTGATATAAAAAATATGTTTAATAAATAAATGAATAAAACCTCTATCGCCTAAACCTATCACTGAATAGAATTACAGTAAAGAAATGTTTTGTTTTGTTTTATTTTGTCTTATCTTCCCATTTCTTTCCTTTTTCATCTAATAATGGCAGCTTTATGGAAGGATTGTTGTGGGATATATATTTCAGTATGTTGATTTAGGGAGATGTGTGTGGAAAGTTTTTAGGAAATCAGTTTGGTACGGTGGTTAAGGTACTGGCCTAGAGACCAAGAGACTGCATTCCAGCCCTATCTTAGGCATGAAAAATCTGCTGGGTGATCTTTGCCCAACCACTCTCTTTCTCAGTCCAACTCACCTCACAGGGTTATTGTTATGGGAAAAATAGGAGAAGAAGGGAATATTTGCCACCTTTTTAAAAAATGGGATTTAAAAAAAAAACGCCTTATTTGGTTTTCTAGAATTGAATAAAAGAATCAGATTAAGCTAGACTGAAGATCGTGGTTGGTTTATGGAGCAAAAATAGAGGACTGAAGAAAGGAAGATGAAGACTTTTGAAATCTGGACAAAGATGCTGTATCAAAGCAAAGAGTGTTTTGAAGCATCCCAATAGATTCAGCTGTTTAATCTTCTTTGTATAGCATGATGGAGTTGTATTGCTGTTGGAGTTATGCCAT